CTCTCTCTCTCTCTCTCTCTCTCTCTCTCTCTCTCTCTCTCTCTCTCTCTCTCTCTCTCTCTCTCCTTAATTGTTATCATTTCATACAAAACTATTATCTCGTTATAAACTTTGACACAAATAATAATAAAATTTAATATTGATTTACACAAGAAATGCAAGCGATTTAAAAGTTTTGTGTTAAACAGTATCTCAAACACAACACTACAGACAAAGAGTACTAAAGTTGTTAACAATTATAATAAACTAATAATTTTTATAATTTCCAACCAATATTTGTAAATTTACAACTGTTATAATTACCATCCAGGTCCTGGCGATTACATTGTGTGCATTACATTTGGTGACAATTAATTACTGGTAGAAATGTGTGGTATATTTGGCTGTATTTGTGACCATAATCTGGTGAATAAGGTATTTATTATGTTTATTACTTTGTATGAAAAAATAAAACTTTTATTCGCATAAAATGATCAAGTTCTGAAAATGTGTAGATCCATTGATTTCAATGTCAATAAACCATTTATGAATTACTTTCTCCCTTTAAATTTTATAATTCGTATTTTATATTATAATAAGTAATATATGTTTTATTTATAGATTTTGAGTACATTTTTATGTTATTTAACAAATAGCAGCAACTTATCTCTCAATATATTTTTACAACATGATAAACATTAACTAATTGTCATTACTATAGGTTATAATTTAGTTAAGCCAAGTTAATTAAAAGTTACTCGGTATACTCTTACACGTTTAAGAATTTAATTACAACCACATCTCCACGAAATAGCATTTAGGCAAATCATGGTAAATTATACATGAATTATATTTATGATTATTATTAATTTAATAAATGTAATAATTTTGTAAAAAACATAATTGCCAACCTAGTGACAATGAATACATAAAATGTTATTGAAGTACAATAAACATAACGGGAATTGAGGGGAGAGTTAGAGGGAAGGGGTGGTAATGTGTTAATGGATTTTGGAGTTTGTGTTGTTGTATCCTATAAACACATTTCAATAACCACTTTATAATTTTATAGATAATTTTATTTATAGACATTGTTATCACCAATAATTATCATTAAGAATTATCACAGACAAACCATTGCTCTCACGAGTTTGTAATTATCTATAGTTATTATCGCGAATATACTATTGGCCACAGAATTGATACTTATTTGCAAAACAAAATCACAAACTTTTTGATAAAACACTTGTTTATGAATGAAATAAAAAGTTTTACAAAGTATTCAATCAATTAAATCTAGTATTTAAACATAATTTACAACCTTTTCATTCGCTTAACAGATCGATAAGAATGAGTCGATTCGGCACTTCCTGTGCCGTCGAGGGCCGGACCAGTTCGCCAAACTCCAGATACCTGTCCACTCAGCGGCTGAGGGCTCGGACTATACTCACGGCCCGCAACTGTGTCTAATGAGTTCTGGTC